GGCGCAGCAGACAGCCCAGCGCAGCGCCGCCGCGCTGTTGCCGCGGTGTTGCCGCCTCGCCGACGTAAACACGGGATTTAAATCTCGCGCCTTCGGGGTGGTCGCCGTCGGCCGCGCGCACGGCGCACACCTCCACGCCGTGGCGTGGCGAGTTACGGCCCGTTGTTCCGCCGTTTACTGCCGGCCGCGGTGTTACGGTGTAGGAGACAACGGGCGGCGTAACGCCCTTACGCCCGCGCGGCCCCGCGGGGCGCAAAAGGCGCTGGCAGGACGACGCAACGCACGCACAGTGGGCCAGAAGACCGGTGGAGGCGGTCGAAACCCCGGACGCGTTTTGAGCGCCAGAGTCGCTGAATGGGACTCGAGCCGAACGTGTGACCCCACCAATGGATTGCTCTCCGAACGAGGAATCCATTGGTGGGGTCACACGTTCGGTTCGAGTCCCATTTAGCGACTCTGCAGCTCAAAACGCGTCTAGAGTTTCGGCCGCTTGCGCAGGCAGAGCCGCTAGTCGGAAGTCCAGCCTTGAACCTTGAGCGTGCACCTTGCGATAGGCCCCCGCACCACGGCCAGCCCGTGGCCGAGGTGGCAAAACCCCTTTTGCCCGCCGAGAGGCAGAGAGAGAGCGAGAGAGAGAGAGAGAGAGAGAGAGAGAGAGAGAGAGAGAGAGACGAGGGCACTGTTCTGAATCGAGCTGCTGCGGCCTTCGTGATGTGCGTGCCGCGGCGTGCCGGGTGTTCTTACAGTGGATGGACGGACACCGGACCCCTTCGAGGCTCCGTGCAGTGTGGCGGCGGCCGCGGGCGCGGGTCGGAGTGTCGGACCAGGGACCTCGGACGGACGGACGGACGGCCCGACAGCGGAAGGGAGTGTTTCATTTCGAATCCGATGGTCCCGACGGGACGCCTGTTTGATGATGACGACGCTCCTCCATCGCCAGCTGTTGCCCCCTCCTCCCCTCTCCGCCCCACCCTCCCCCTCTGCTCCCCTCCCCCTCCCCCAGCGCGCTGTGGAGGCGACCCTCGTCCCTTCCCACATACAGGCTTATGCTCATTACCCCGCTGAGGCCGCCCTCCTGCCACACTTTTCAATCCCTCGTACAGTGCGCCTACGTGTTCGTCACTCCGTCACTCCGTTCGTCACTCTGCCCGTCACACGCTGCACAGTGCACCAGAAGAAAAACTCTAGATGCGTTTTGAGCTCCAGAGTCGCTAAGTGGGACTCGAACTAAACGTGTGACCCCACCAATGGATTCCTCGTTCGGAGAGCAGTCCATTGGTGGGGTCACACGTTCGGTTCGAGTCCCTTTTATCGACTCTGGAGCTCAAAACGCGTCCGCTGATTTTGACCGCCTCCACCGGTCTTTTGGCCCACTGTGCAGGCAGCGTGATGGTGGGTGATTTGAGCGACGGAAGTGGAATCACCGCATCGCGGCCCCGGATCCGGCTCCGTCGTTCGGCACCACCACACTGGTGACGCGAGTCCGAAATGTGTATCGATTGGCGGTGTAGGCGCGAGAGAGACAGAGCGACGGAAGGGACTCTCGGGACTGGGAGGGAATCAGTCCGCCGGATTCTTGGATTGGGCTAACTATCGTTTAGGCGCTTCTACGAAGTAGTATCGAAGTACCCCTCCCCCCTGCAGGCTGATTCCGAGCGCTGCCCTCGTCGCTGTCTCTCTCGCACCCTCCCGGCACGCCCCGTGAGTGCGAGAGAGACAGAGCGACGAAATCGACTCTCGCCACCTGTCGTGCTGCACCTGCAGTGCACCTATACAGTGCACCTGCGCACCTGGCCGCGTACCTGCAGTGTACCCGCCAAGCCCTCGGCCGGGCGTGCCGCGCCTGCCAATGACGCAATGGACGCCGGACGTTTAACTTGACTCACAAAAAGCGCGGCCAGCTCACTTCCTCCATGACCCCGGCCTTTGGCGGCCGAGGGCAGGGGCGCGGGTTCAAATACCCGCACGACCACTCTTTTTTCCTGGCGTTGTGAGGGCGCGGGTTCGAATACCCGCACGGCCACTTTTTTTCCGGTGTTCTAAGGTCGCGGGTTGGAATACCCGCACGGCCACTCTTTTTCTTCGTGTTGTGAGGGCGCAGGTTCGAATACCCGCACGATCACTCTTTTTTCTGGTGTTCTGAGGGTCCGAATACCCGCACGGCCACTCTTTTTCCCGCTCTCGCCTCCCCGCGCGTGTTCGGGAGGTCGACGCGCTTCGCGTTGCGATGGTCGCGATGCTCCGCGGCGGACTCGCGGCCAGGTGGGGTGGCGCGCCGTGGCGGCCGCAGTGTAGTGGTTTCGTCGCTCTGTCTCTCTCGCACTCGCGGGGCGTCCCGCGGGGGTGCGAGCGTGCGAGAGAGACAGCGGACGGCCGGGTGGACAAACCGGACGGCGTTCACACAGTGCACACACAGTGCACCGGCCGGCAATGCAGTCGTCGCTCTGTCTCCCTCGCACTCACGGGGTGTCCCCTGAAGGTGCGAGAGAGACAGAGCGACGAAAACGACGCTCAGCCCGCAGTGCAATGCAGCAACGCCACTGTTAGTGCTAGTGCAGTGCCTCACCGCGCTACGTAGCGTGGCGTATGGAAATGAGTGCGCCCTGCGCAGTGTGTGTCGCTCTGTCTCTCTCGCACCCGTGCGGTATGCCGCAAGGGTGTGAGAGAGATGGAGAGGCGGAACGCCTTTTCGGGATCAGCCTGCTGCACAAGGCACTGCACTGCAAAGAGTGGTGCGCCATTCACCTTCACTGTCGACTCTCTCACTCAGTCTCCGTCGCACTCACGTGGCGTCCCTTCGACGAAACGCTGTGCGAAAATCAGTCTCTGCCGCACTCCTGAGGCGCTCAGCTCGGCACGTTTCGACTTTGTCACGCCAATCAGGTGTCCGCGATTTGAACGTAAGTCAAAGTGCTGACGCCGATTTTTTTCGAGTGGACGAGAAACGGTCCTGCCAACGCGCCCTACGGTCCATTAGGGTCAGCATTGAAAGTCAGTCTCTCTCTCTCTCTCTCTCTCTCTCTCTCTCTCTCTCTCTCTCTCTCTCTCTCTCTCTCTCTCTCTCTCTCTCTCTCTCTCTCTCGCTCACTCGCTCAGCTAGCGCCGAGCAGGGACGGGTCAGTCCTGTTCCCTCCCACTGATAGCGATGGCGGCCTAGCGGCGTGCATTTTGCCGTTTTGCTGCACTCCGCTGCATTACCCCATCCCGGCACTGGCCGGCGATGCAGTTGCCAAGGCGTTCTGCCCCCGCCGAGTGCGGGGCGCGCGGAGGTGGGGCGGGGCGGGGCGGGGCGGGGCGGGCTGAGGTACGCGGCGCGGCTAGCGTGCCGAGTTTCGCAAGGACCCCGACGCTTTACCGTCCCGACCTACCGCAACCGGCGAGGCGAAGCGGGGAAGGGAGGGGAGGAGAGGAGAGGGCAATAGCTCCCCAGTGGCGGGCACACTGTGGCGGCCGGCGGGGCTCGCGGGCTTCGTACTCCGCGAGTCGCCGCGTCCGAAGGTAAAGCGGCGGCAAACTGATGCCGAGAGTCGTTTTCGTCGTTCGGCCTCTCTCGCATCTTTTGGAGCTGAGTCGCTAAACAAGACGCGAACCGAACGTGTGACCCCACCAATGATTCCTCGTTCGGAGAGCAATCCATTGGTGGGGTCACACGTTCGGTTCGAGTCCCATTTAGCGACCCTGGAGCTCAAAACGCGTTCGGGGTTTTGACTGCCTCCACCGGTCTTCTGGCCCACTGTGCGTTGCTACAGCGTCGCGTTTCACGTGCAGCGACAATGTCGCCACCCACGTCCAACTTGGCGCCCGACTCCCCTTTGCTGCCGTTGGTTCGAATCCCGGTCGCGCCGTTTTATTTTTACACGTTTGGTGCGCGTCGCGTACTTCGCGGCGTCACTGCGCGGCCCACCACGGTCCGCGGCGTCCGCGGCGCGATTTGGCAAGCGTGGCGCTGACCTACCACAACTCGGCGGCGCCCCACCACGCCCCGCCGCACCGCGCCACTCCCAGAATGGCACAGTATTTACCCTTGGAGTCCGCGGCTCCGCGGCCTGGATGCCGCACAGTGGGCCAGAAGACCGGTGGAGGCGGCCAAAACTCGAGACGCGATTTGAGCTCCAGAGTCGCTGAATAGGACTCGAGCCGAACGTGTGACCCCACCAATGGATTCCTCGTTCGGGGAGCAATCCATTGGTGGGGTCACACGGTCGGTTCGAGTCCCATTTAGCGACTGTGGAGCTCGAAACGCGTCTGGTCTTCTGGCCCACTGTGTGCCGCCTCGCCTCGTCATGCCGCGGACGGCGCGGCCTGCAAGTTCGCTTCGGACGCACACATCGAAGAGCCGCGCCGCCGAGCCACCACCTTTGCCTTTTTGGTGGCGGCACTGTGGCACCTGCGGGGCGGGGCGGGGCGGGGCGCGGAGGGCGGGGCGGGGCGGGGTGGGGCGGGGCGCTGCATCGCGGTGAGGGCCCCGCCGCGCCGCGCCCCGCCCCCCAGGGCCCGGCCCTGCCGAGGGATCATTGCCCCCGCTTCGGCCGCTTCGGCCCGCAGACCACGTGGTGGCCCTGGTGCCCCCACTGGCGGGCCGGGCACGGCGCACGGCGCACGGCGCAGCCAGGCAGCGGACTGGGTGCGGCGCGCCGAGCGCGGCAGTGCTGCCATCTAGCGGCCGCGGCGGCAACTGCCTCAAGGCTCGTCCCTCGTCCCAGTCCCACCAGTGGGCCACCCCGCGTACCCCGCCCTCCGCGCGCCAGCCACCTCCCCGCCCCGCCCCGCCCGCTCGGAATGGAAGCGCGTTTTTACACCGAGGCTTTCAATCCGCTCGGGCTTTCCGCCGAAGCAGTTCGCTTGATTGCATTTCATCGCAGTTGATCCCACTGACGTTGGAGGTTAGCCAGGACGGGGAAGGGGCGTCTCCGGGTGGAGGTGCACTGCATTCTGTGCGGCTGTCATGTTGTTGTTTCCAGTGCGACTCTAACGTTGTTGTTGTTGTTTGTCTGTTGCAGTGGGGTCGCCGTGAACGGCTGCTCGGACTACTCCAGCTCCTCCAGCAGCGGCCACAGTGACATCACAGACCCCGGCTCGCCGTTCAGCGTGTCGAGCGAGGACTCGTCGGCGGCGCCCTCCCCCGCACGGACTACCCCTGCCGCCCCCACGCCCGCCCCCGCCGCCCCCGCCCTCAAGCAGGACCCCCAGAGCGCCGGGGGCGGCGTCGGCGTCGGAGCCACCGTTGGGGGCGGCAGCTGGGCCTGGGCCGGCGAGTCCGAGCTCGTGCAGGCCGTGGCCGTGGCCGTGTCGCCGCCCCCAGAGGCGCAGCCCGCCGCCCCCACCACCGCCTCCAAATGCAACGTGAAGCGCAACCTGGACGGCCTGGAGGGCCTGGAGGGTCGCCGCAGTCCCGTCAACATCAACAGCAACAACAACCTCCTCAGCAACAAGAAGCTCAAAGTGGAACCGGCACCTGCCACCACCACCACCACCGCCCTGTGTGTTCAAACCTCGACCACTCCTCCCTTTTTAGAGACTAAGAAAGAATGTTTTGTCAAAACGGAGGACGCCACTGAGGGAAATGGTGTCCAGCAAACTTTTGAACCAGACCATCGGGGGAAGATAACTCACTACTACAAGCCGAAGAAAAAGCCTGATGAGAAGCGGATACCTCTGGTTAAAGCAGTGACGATGGGGTTCACTCCATTTATGCCAATCATAGCAAATAAGGGCAGTTTACATAAAATACCTCCTACGCCTCCTGATAAAAGTGGACAGGTTATAAAAAGTGAACCATTAAGCCGAAAAATGATGGATATCAAAGTGAACTCAATTTTCAAATGTCCCGCTGCTTTTGACGTCAAAAAGGTTTCAAATGGTCTTCTTATGTCTTCTAAACTGCCTGATGTTGTGCCAAATGAAACTGTTCAAGCAAAGTTGGACCCTGATGACAAGAAATTGATTTCCATGCCCTCCCTGTTCAAAAGTGGCTCAGAAAAAATTAAGTCAGAACTAAGTTTAATCACCTCAGCTGTACTACCAGTAGCCCTGTGTAGTCGACTGGATGAAAAGTGGACCACTTGTTCCGAGTCCCCTTCCTCACCAAAGTCAAGCCAGACACCTGCAGTAGCCAGCACACCGCCTTTTACACCTGTGCCAAGCGAGATCCCCACGGTTGTCAGTGTATCGACTCCCACCAAACCAGTGAGCAATACCACTCCAATAGACAGGACAGTTTCTTCGCAAAGCTGCTTAAGTATTAGGGAGCAATGTAATGTTAAGGAAAGCAGACCAGGAGTTACCACGGATGTTGTAGAGAAAGTGTCTGAATCAGTTGTGCCCGAGGCTGTGATATCTTCGAATGGGCAGGCTGAGCCTGTGTCTGACCAATTGACTGTGAATACTGCCACCACCACCACCACCACCTCTTCGTTCCTGATACCTGCACCTGTAGGACCAAAATCTCCTATTTTATCGGTGCCAAAATCCATTCGGTTTCCAGCCCGCTCAGCTACAAAACCACAAGCAGAGCCCCAAGTGGATGAGGTGGTTAGTTGTCTTTGGACAGACTGCACACTGAGATTTAACTGTGATTCTTCTCTTCTGGAACATCTTCAGGTGAGGATCCAGTATTTTTCTTAATTTTCCTGGAGTAATATGTCTCTGTTACAAACTGTTTGATACTTACAATGTTTCAAATCAGGCACTGGGTTGAATACTTTTAAATAACCTTGAGTTGATTTGTGTGTTGCAGGGGGAGCATGTGAATCCTCAGAAGACTGATTCATTTGTGTGCCACTGGGTGGGCTGCAAAGTGTTTGGACGGTCATCATGTTCGAGATCCTGGCTTGAAAGGCATGTTCTTAGTCATGGTGGCAATAAACCTTTCCGATGTATTGTTGATGGATGTGGTATGAGGTTTAGCTCACAGGTATGGTATCAGTCTAGGTTTCCTTGTCTTTTGATATGTGTTGAGCGTATAATGAGAACTGAGTGAAATTTAATTCACCTGCAGTTAATGCTGGAGCGACATGTCAACTGGCACTTCAAGCAGTCTGAATCGCCTTCAAGTAATGGATCAGCACCTCGACGCAGCCTGGACACACCACCAAATAGGTTAATCAAAAGATGTGGAAAGAAGCTGAGATATAGAAGACAACCATGGTCAGGTATGTATTGGTATCAATCCGTTGTGGGCGTCTCTCTGCCATCTAACTACAATAAATATCTTCGTTCTTCGAACAAAAGTAAACTGATTTCTAGGGAAGAACATGTTTAATCACTATGATGTTGATTAGACTTATTAGTTTTACTAATGTGGTTCTGTTTTTCTTGCTTCATCAAAGGAGGGAGAGGTAAGACAGATAGTGAATTTCCCTCCATTGCATAAGCTTTATCGTCACCATCATCATTGGTTTTATACTTCTACTGGAACTGGTGTTAGTTGCACCTGCAAACTGCACTTGCATCAATACTCATGAACTGTAGCAAGCATCTGCTTTCCAAAATTTTTCTTTACTCTGCTTGCCAAATTTTGTTGATGAGTTGGATTCAGTACTGTAGATCTGGTTTCTAAGAAAGTTGTATCAATCAAATTTTATGAAGTTAATGGGTTCCCATTTGAAAGTTATGTTTAAAGTTTCTGCTTGCGTTTTGAACCATTTTACCTTCTCTTATCTTGTTTTATGTTTAACTAATAGAAATTTCATTGTCTAATTATTGTTAAAATGTTACTAAGGGATTTATTGTTTGTTACAGCTCGCCAGTTTGATTATTTCGATTCGGGTATCATGGAGGGACTTCAATACCAACTTGTTGTTCAAGCAGAAACCATGGATCTGGATAGAATGCCTGGAAGCAATGTTACTCTTTATTCAAAGGTACTCACTACATGAGATATTTCAAATTTTTAACATGGATCAAGTATTTTTTTCTTTTAATTTGTAGGCTGTTTTTGTCTTGTTGAGACCCATATTGAAGCCTTTATTCATTTTCAGATCATGGCTCAACGTGTGCAACCAGATGGAAGTCTTTCAGTTTTGTTACGGTGGTTTCCTAGGAATTGGTAAGTAATCAAATTAATTTTATCCTTTTATGACTGTGTCATTCAGTATGGTTCAGTTCCATTGTTTGTCTTTGCAGTGTGGAAGATGAGTGGGTGCTCAAGAGAGATGTGAGATCTACCCGAACTGTTCGACTAACAGAGTACCCTGAATCCGTCGAGTCGTTATCATCAGCCGGTGGTTCTGTGTATTCATCCCCTCCTTCATCACCAATTTCTGTGATTTCTGCATCTTCTACTGCTGAGTTTGAGGATGAAGCTCCCACTACCTCAACTTCGAATTTCTGGGTGCTAAAGGCTCCTGCAGCAATGGCAAAATCTGTGGCGGACTCAAAACCTCTACAATCCAGAAAATCAAGACGAAAACCTATCAAGAAGGCTGCTGTTACCTGAAGAAAGTTCCTCTTAATTAATGTGTTTTGCATCAGAGTCATTCCATTTTAAGTCACCTTGTGGTTGAATCATGAGGTTGTACCTTACAGGAATGACACTGAGACTCTAGAGTGATTCTTTACCCCATTTGTCTAATGTGTTAATATGATTATGCTAGTATTTCTTTTGTTGGCTCACTATCTTTGTCAATGCAAGATGAGTTGTGTTACTGGTGTTACTTTAAATATATAAGCACTCAGGAGTTTTCCTGACTGTTTTGTCACTGCCCTCTGCAATATGCAGTTCTGTCAATCATATTGGTTGGCTATGTGATATTGTAAAGGTTATGACTAACTTTGTCATCTCCTGGATTTTGTACTGACATTATTCCATGTGAAAATTTGTGTCTTTATGAAGGCAAAACTGGAGCACTTCATGTTCACTTACTTAAAAGCATACCAGTAAGGGCACTTTTGTGATAATCATGCGCTGAGGTCATTAAAATTATTGCCATGCTGGGATGCTTTCACTTTACCTGATTGATAAATTTGTTAAGTAATTGTTACTTAACATTGTACTGTCCTAGAAATTTTGAAAGCTTTTCCCACCCTGAATGCGACACATTTATATTTTGGAAAAGAGTAAAAATGTCTCCAAAATTTCATCCTTTAGATATCTTGTTATAGGTTTTTTTTTGTGTTTTTTATTGACTTTGGAAAAATATATGCATTTATAGAATGCTATATAGTGTTCTTGAATATCAAATTTATTTTTATGCTTAAAGTTTAAATGTCAACATCTCTCTCATTAAAAAATAAATTAATACTACATACTAAGAAACTTCAAGCCATGTTAGTGCCTTAGACTGAATTTCCAGGGTCCAACTTCTGAAATCTTGTTTGATGTTCATAATGTGGCTTTGAATTTCTTTTCATGTGTCAATTACTAGCTTGCTGGAATGGGTTGTGTTCATGGTGAAAGGAAAACTTTGAAGAGCTTGTGAGGATGACCTGTGTGCCAAAATGATGTAAAACAAAACAGCAGGAAGTTTGGGAAGTAATTGCCATTTTTCATTGACAATGTGATCCTTAGCTCCTTGTATCTATTTCGCTCTGATCATTTGGATCATAAGACTGACCAGTGATACATAGATATCCATGAAATAATATTGTCAAATGGGTGTTTGTTGAGAGCGGAATTGAGAAGAGATTGAGGATAGCTGGTAATACTAGGATGATGTATTCATGACATACCCCTGTTTCTACCCCACAATGTGTGTTCTGGTTAAGGAAGGTGTTCAGATTATGTACTTTTCTAAAGTTAAATTTCTTTGTTGATGTTAATCAGTGCAGTGTAGTTTTCAAAACTACAAAGTTAATATCTGCCTCTTAGCACTGACATTTTTATCAATTATGTGTAGTAAAGCATCTTGACTTCTATGACGTTTTTTTTGTATGTTTTCGCTGAAACACTTAAGGTGTGACAGAAATGCAGGTGTGTGTGAATATTTATCATGTGCTTTTAGTTTTGTTTCTTTGTTTCCAAAAGGACTTTGTTAATCTACTGTAAGTCCGGTCTTTGCAGACACCCAATGTTTTAAAAATAATGATTTGATGGATAATCCACATGGTTTTAAAGACGCTCCTGTAACTCTTAAACACGTTGTTACACATGTGATGAATCTCTAAAGTGAGTTTTGAATGTTAATTTTCTTGTGTGGTACAAAAAATATTGTGTAGTGATGTCACCTCTTTCAACAGGGTTATTTTTAATATGATTTTAAACTAGAAAATTTTTAATCTCTCTTCTCCCTCTTGTTTTTATTTTATTATTATTCTTGTGCAGATTGAAAATGATTTTAATCAATTCGAGGACAAATACCTTTTGTAGGCTATGAGCCGCAACCATCATTAACTGATTCCTCAAGTTTAAGTTATATATTAACAAATGTGCTTCAACTGCCAATAATGAAACAATCAGCTGCGTGACCACACTGCCAACGATGATTCGATGACGTCTGTGGGTGGATCTCTTAGTTTTTATTATGTTAAATGGGGTGGAGCATGCTATTTTTGAGTGTGCTTTACACCAAGCTTGAAGAATGCATACTTAATTATAGGTTTATGCTGTGTAGCATAGTTTAATCAAACTTCAAGTTGAAGTGATAATTTCAGCGATGATTATCGCTTAACTGTGTAAATAATAATGAGATGACCGATATTGAATGTGTTCTACTGTATTTGGATATTATTTAAGCCTGCATGGCAATTTAGCATCAGTGCCCATCAATGCCCAGTGTCATGCTAGAGTGATTTTGGAGTATACTGTATCATACTCTATGTGTACAAATGGATTATTTGTTATTTCTTTTGGAAACAAAACAATGATATTTTATTGTAAAACAATCACTGCCATCTTTCTAAATCAAGTGAGTGACTTGTGCCTACCACACTAAAAGTTTTCATTGAATGGTTAATTTGGATTCATGTCTCAGACTCAATCAAGGATGCAAAGAATAATGGGTTTGTGAAAAATAACCACTTTCAGCTTTGTGCCATAACACACTAATCCTGCCATTCTAAACCGTTAATAATAATGTGGTGTGGGTGGCACATACATATGTTTTGTTACTACTCATCAATTTTTCAGGAAAAGATATGTGCCCCTACACTTGATCTCTAAAGCTGCATTCTGCCTGAAGTTAAAACGAAAAATGAGAGAAACATAATTTGATATCGAGCTATGCTTTTCATTTCAAAAACTCAACTAGACTAGGTTTGATTAGTATGAAATTTCATTTGATTTGTACTGCTTATTACAATTATTGTTCTGACAAATGTCAAAATTTAGAGTAAGCTGTGGCACCTCTGTGTTCATGATGCAGTTTCAGTCTTTTACCCAGCGTGTTCATGTGTTAGAAGTAGCATCAAAGCATGGCCAAGTTTATGTGAGCATTCCACAAGAGACTGCTTTGTCTGATAAGCATTTAAAGTGCTTTTAATTTGCTCCTTAAAATTTGGAGCTTTAGTCTGATTCTTGAGTCCTGTTTCCCACAACAATTTTGTTGAAAGGGAACAACCTACTTGCAACTCTGCAAAATCAAAAGAATTTGTCTTGTCTTTCAACTTCTTCTATTTTACAATTTATTTGTGACATATTATCCTTTATGGCCATTTCTTGTTGAACTTTTGAAGTCATGTCATGCACATATTAATATCAGTTTTTGTGTGGTGTGGTAAGGGACCATTTATTCGTTCATTCAGTTTTTGTGTTCAGATCATTAATTTTGGTCATTCTTTGTTTTAGGTAACCTTAGGTTCTTCTTTTATCATGCTCAATAAAAATTGAGCTCATTTTTATGCCAAGGAAACCCATTGTGTTCTTTGTAGTGTTTGTGAGTGACTATTGCTTTCAATTTAAATGAATTTTTCAGAGTCATACATGAAAATTTGAAAGAAATGTCACTGACATTCTTTTATAGTTTTTTCTTTTTTTTTGGAGGGTCACTGCCAAACACTTGTTAATGAATTGAAAATGGAGTATGGACTATGTGGCAGCTCCATTGTTAATTTTCCAATAATAATGACAATTATTTGAGCTGCCTGTTACCTTCTCTTATTTTTTCTCTATTTTCCTCTGACTGTTAAAGTCATTAATGAGTCTGCAGGTTGCTACCAGTTTTCCACAGTCAGTTGTCTAGAAGTCTCTGTAGTTATGTCCAGAATTTCCTTAGTTCTTTTTGTCTTAAAAGCAATGTGTTCATTTTATTGATTAAGTGTAAAGCATGTTTATGTTTCAAGCAGAAAAAGAAACTGTCTCTTAAGGCCTTACGACTATGTGGACTTACCTGTATTCCGTGTAATGGTATTCATATCATTTGCAGTCTTTTTCCCATGCTCAATATCATCGTATTCATCTCTCAGTGTTACTGTACCTTTGTGTTGGTAATAACTTGTATTATGTATATATGATGTACATACAGTGTACATTACATGATCAATTCTGATTAAGCTATTTAATTCTCTCCAACATCAACCTGGTAAATGTATATATAGCCATTTAAGTTGTCAGTGCATTATTTTAGTTGAATTCCCTCCTTTTCATACATGTACTTCACATCATGTTCTGTGTTGTTTTGTTGTTTTGCTGTTTGTTGTTTTCCTCTGCTTTTCCCAAAAGGACTGATGGCCTCTTGCATGTGTTTCAACTCGAACCTTTTATTTTGAGTTGATTTCTAAATGAATGCTTTGTGTAAGTTTTCTGGACAAAATATATTTGTTTTCTTTTTGTCGTAGTATTGTGATAAAAAATAAAGAAATCCAGTGCTTTCTGGTTTTCATGATTGGAAGCAAGATGACATTGCATTATCCATGTGATGTTGCATGTACATTTGTGTTGATGAAGGCGTGAGTAGGATAGCAGTAGGTGGGTTTATGTTGCAAGTTACGAATAGTGCCTATCTCCCTTTTTTCAGAAGTGTATAAGTTTTCAATAGTACAAGTTTTTATAAGGTAAGGTTAATTTAATGTGTAAAAATTTTTTAGACCACTGGGAAAAACCATAACAAGCAAATCCTTTCTTGGTGAAAGGAAACAAGTTTGATTTATATGTCTGCTGCAAAAATGTAACACGCTTGAATTTGAAAATTTGTCTTTGTAAATGATCATTATGTTATATTAATAACTCAAAATTCATGGCTGACCAATATGCAAACCCAAACCCATGAACTGTGCTGAGATATCAGTAAGCTTCTGACTTTTGATCTGTCAATATGGAGCTGTTATTTCTTAGTACATCAATATATTTTTTGAAAGCCCAATCGGTGTTCTACAGTGGTGATGTCACTCAAAATTGTGTAAATCTTAGATTGAAATTTTAATCGAGCATTCTCTACTGAAAACTAGAAAGCCTGGGTTATGTAAAGTAATATTTATAAATTGAAAAAAAAGGAAAAAAATGTATGTTGTACAGAATGTAAGTCTCATTAATTGCAGAGATGGAGTCATATTGTGGAAGAAATGTTGTACGTTGTACCAGTCGTGTACTGTTATCATACTCACTTCAGATAGAAGACTAGGAGGTGTTGAAAAATATATCTATTATTTACTTTGATGTGGTTTTGTTTTATTCTCCTTTATTCTGCTAGAAAATGCCACCAAAATGGAAAACAACTTTGAAACTTACATAGCCGCTGACGGCGGGAACTCTTTTGCAACTCAGAGAGAGACGCGCCACCGAGGTAGGCCACCCATTTGACACGCTGGCTGGACAGAGTGCTGCTTGACAGTCCGATCAATCTCAGAGGTTCTGCACGAACGCTATCTCGCGCGGGCAGCGCCGCTCGCCGCTTTGGCTAGTCGGTCAGCGTGATGCTTGAATAGAAAAGAGAGACCTGAATAGAGGAGATGCCAAACTCCACCGTTCTACATTCGAACTCCCTCACGGATAAACTGCTCGGAACTGGAATGCCGGCCGCAAAACGACTAGAATTTTCAAAGCGCACAGCTGAAAGACTAGTCAAAACAGCAAACGGAGCTGCCCCCGCGAGAAAACGGCAGCAGACGCGCAGCGGCGGCGTTTAGAGACCGTTTAGAGCCGTAATGACCCTCGAAATAGTGTCAGGGTCCTTGAGGGAGTGCTCCAGCACAACATACACTCGAATTTGGGCCATTTTAAATTTTTAATTTGGTGTGAAAATTACTTTTCCCCGAGTTGATGAAGCTGTGGGCAGTTGGTTGCCTACCCACGCGGCGCATGCCCCAAGAATTCCAGTTTAGCGCCAGAAAAAGGCCGTTTAGGGCCGAAATGGACCCCAAAATGGTGTCAGGAGTCTTGAGGGACTGCTCCAGCACAACATACTCGAATTTGGGCCGTTTTTAATATTTGGCCGAAAACGGTAAAAAACCATGATTTACCTTAACATTTTTTCGACGAAAATGGTCGACCGCCTCCGATTTGTCTGAAATTCATATGGAACGTTGCTATGGGTCTTACAAAAAGGTTCCCAGTGCCCAACGGTCTTTGGCAGACTTTATTGGGCGTGAAAATGACTTTTTCCCGGGACGCCAGTCGCGCTCTGGTGCAGCGCAGAGACCGTGGACGATGGGTTGCCTACCTGTCGGGCGCATGCTCAGAAGATTCGAGTTTTTCGCTGGAAAAAAGACTATCTAAGGCCGAAATGGACCTTGGAATAGTGTCAGGAATCATAAGGGAGTGCTCCAGCACAACATAATACTCGAATTTGGTCCGTTTTAAATTTTCAGCCAAAACGGTGAGAAAAATAAGGAAAAACCAGAAACGAGGGTTCACCTTTCAGCATGCCAGCATTTTTGACGAAGCACACCTGTGCTCATTGCATAAATACATACGTGGCTTTGTTTGTTCAAATAATCAATTCGATCAATTAAAACTAACTGCAGCCGTTTTTCGCGCGGCGAGCGAGCAGTTGCCGTTCCACAGCCCATATTCGCCCCACTCAACATCTCCTTGTGCCTCTCGCCTGTTTTACGGCCGTTGTGGCTGCGACCTAGACTCCCAGGTGAGTCGCGGGTCATCGAGCGTCATACAACACGCCGTCTCTCTCTCTCTCCCTCTCTCTCTCTCTCTCTCTCTCTCTCTCTCTCTCTCTTTCTCTCTCTCCTCTCTCTCTCTCTCTCCCTCTCTACTCTCTCTCTCACTCACTCTCTCACTTACTTACTTACCCACCCACAGACACACACACACACACACACACGACGCTACTTCCTGATGCGTATACGTGCATGCGAGATCGGGAGAGGATATCCCCTTCTATTCCAGGAATCACGACTCCGCTGGAGAAGGAGGAGGAGAGCCCGAGTGGATTAATTCGTGGACATGGTCATTACTGCGCTGCTGCACTGGTGGACTGCACTTCGCTGCGCGGACGGCGGAAACGCAAGCACTCCGGCGCACAGTGGGCCAGAAGACCGGTGGAGGCGGAGGCGGCAAAAACTCTAGACGCGTTTTGAACTCCAGAGTCGCTAATCAGGACTGAACCTTTGGTAACTGAATTTGTTTTCCTTTACTTTCATGTAGAACTCTTTTGCACCAAAAAATAAATTTATTATTTTTTTAGCGTTTTATCTTTGTGTTGTATTTTTTTCCTTCGAGTAGTCCAACTTGCATTTCGATCAGCACAATTTTCGCCAGATTCAACAGTCTTTCCTAGTATTCTAAGATTGGCGGGCACTTTGCCGCGAGAGGCCGGCGCACAATGACTACGTGACCGATTTTTGTTTCGGAGGGGGCGGTGACGCCGGGCCGCGCAGTGATACAAGGTTGGGTTCGACAGGTCACGTCCAGGGGAGGGGAGGAGGCGGGGCCACAGTGGGCCAGAAGACCGGTGGAGGCGGTCAAAACTCCGGACGCGTTTTGAGCTCCAGAGTCGCTAAGCAGGACTCGAACCGAACGTGTGACCCCACCAATGGATTCCTCGTTCGGAGAGCAATCCATTGGTGGGGTCACACGTTCGGTTCGAGTCTTCTGGCCCGCTGTGCGTCGCGGTTGGTTCCGGTTCCGGTGCGGGACCCCGGTCGCGGATCCGATCCAGAGAGGTGGACGGACCGAAATTTCCGCAAGGTCGTCGCTTCGCTAGCTTCGCTCGGTCCGCACCACGCAGCACCACGCGTCCACGCCCCGTATGGGCGTCCCGTCGACCCGCGCGGCCTCAGGCCTCGGCCTCAGCAGCCAGCGGCAGCCAGCCCACTGACACACTGTGGCTGTCACTCGGAACAGACAAAAAAAAAGGTTGCCTGCGGAAAAAAAATCAAGCCGAAACTGGTTTTAATGTTTTCGCCCTGGACTTCCCCTTCGGCTCACTTAACCTTCCCGAATTTGACAGCCGCTTTGATCTGGACTTCCCTTTGGAAAATCTAGCCTCCGTGCAGAATACACGGCCACTGTGCTCTGTGGACTCCCCCTGTGGGCCAGAAGACCGGTGGAGACGGAAACTCGAGACGCGTTTTGAGCTCCAGAGTCGCTAAATGGGACTCGAACCGAGCGTGAGACCCCACCAAAGGATTCCTCGTTCGGAGAGCAGTGCATTGGTGGGGTCTCACGTTCGGTTCGAGTCCCATTTAGCGACTTTGGAGCTCAAAACGCGTCTAGAGTTTTGGCCGCTTCCACCGGTCTTCTGGCCCACTGTGTGCTGTGGACCTTTCCTGCGGATAACCGAAAACTTCCAGTGCTATGGCTGCGTGGGTCGTCGGATGCGGACGGTTCGACGTGGCCACACACCGTTCCCATAAATCACGTGACGCCCGACCCTGGTGGTGTCTCGGGTCACGCTGAACGCACGCGAAGGCTAGGTTAGGTTAGGGGAGATGAAACAGATCCCGCAGCACTGCGATGGGTTCAGGGCCGACGCGCCCCGCACCCGCAGCCACCCTTCGCACCGCCTGGGAGGCTGTTGCTGAACAGTGGCGCTAACCAAACGCACCGCTTGTGATCATCGAACGCCATATGCCCTTGAACGGACAGGGAATATCGGGACCCAGAGGCCTGGCCAGGTACAGTGGGCCAGAAGACCGGAGGAGGCGGCCAGCCAAAACTCTAGACGCATTTCGAGCTCCAGAGTCGCTAATCAGGACTCGAACTGAACGTGTGACTCCGCCAAAGGGTTTCTCGTTTAGAGAGCGACCTACAGGTGGGGTCACACGTTCGGTTCCAGTCCAGCGACTCTGGAGCTCAAAACGCGTCCGGGGTTTCGGCCGCCTCCTCCGGTCTGCTGGCCCACCGTGGGACGGGGAAGACGAGCAAGAGGAGGAGGACGGAGAAAGAAGTGCTCCAGATGGTTGGGCCCCCTTCCTGTCGGGGTCACTCTTCATTGCTATTCACGGCATGGCCGGGCACGGCGCGGCACGACACGGCACGGCCAACGCGCTCCGACTTGCACTGGATGGCCTTCGGGCGGACCGCACCGCCGTCGCGGTGCGGCGCACAGTGGGCCAGAAGACCGGTGGAGGCGGCCAAAACTCCAGACGCGATTTCAGCTCCAGAGTCGCTAAACAGGCCTCGAACCGACCGTGTGACCCCACCAATGGATTCCTCGTTCGGAGAGCAATCCATTGGTGGGGTCACACGTTCGGTTCGAGTCCTATTTAGCGACTCTGGAGCTCAAAACGCGTCTAGAGATTTGGCCGCCTCCACCGGTCTTCTGGCCCACTGTGCGGCGTGAGCCACGGAGCAGTCTGCACACTGAGAGTCGTTTTCGTCGCTCTGTCTCACTCGCACCCGTTGAGCGTCCCGTAGAGGTACGAGAGAGACAGAGCGACGAAAAACGACGCTCGGAATCAGTCTACTGGTGCGGCGCACACCGGCCGGGTGGATGGGCCCAGGGCAGCCCAGTGCAGGCAGGGCAGCACGCCGTAAGGACGAGAGCTCCTCGCTGCCCTTGACTGCCCTTTCGGGCTGTCTTTGGTGAATTTCAGCTGCCGGACTCATTGGCTGTCCTTCTGGCTGCCCTTTTGGCTGCCCTTTTGGCTGTCCTTTTGGCTGTCTTTTGGCTGCCCTTTTCGATGCCCTTTTAGCTGACCTTTTGGCTGTCCTTTTGGCTGTCCCTTCGGCTGCCCTTTTGGCTGCCCTTTTGGCTGCCCTTTTGGCTGCCCTTTTGGCTGCCCTTTTGGCTGCCCTTGCTGCCCTTTTGGCTGCCCTTTTGGCTGCCCTTTGGCTGTCCTTATGGCTGTCCTTTTAGCTGCCATTTATCCTGCCCTTTTAGCTGCCTTTTGGCTGCCGTTACAACTGCCCTAGTCTCAGCTGCTTTTGTTTACCTTTTTATCTGCCCTTTTGCCTGCCTTTAACTGCCTTTTTCGCCCGCCTTCGTCTCTCCTCATGGCTGTCTTTGGTTGCCCTCCTGGCTTCCTTTGGCAACGCCAGCGCCAGCTGCCCTTCTGGACACAGCGTGTGGCCACCCGCCGCATGGAACTCCGCCACACACACACACACACACACACACACACACACAGACGCACAGACACACACAGACGCACGACACACACACACACACACACACACACACACGACGCACAGACGCACAGACACACACACACACACACACGTGACCGCTGGCTGTGCGATGTGGCGGCGGTGGCCCC